ACACACACACACACACACACACACACACACACACACACACACACACAACTATACACATATGTGAAATATATACTCTTCCACTTGACTTTTTAATTTTCATAAACCACATTGAAATTTGTACAGAATGTTGATGACAAAATGAAGATAAAGACTCACAAGAAGCACACCAGTGTACAGCATGAGTTTTAGCATCTATGTGGAAACCCTGTTTGCCGTTAACGAGGTCTAAGGGGAAGGTGACACAGTATGTGTATGTGTGTTGTATGTTTGTAGTATAGATTTCTTGCCACTCGGGAGTTCCAGGGGAGTGATAAATTGAACTGACAAACACCATGGAAGGATCTGTCCCAGCTGTCCAGTCCTGTCGTTTCTTTCACCCATCCTCATGCTGCCATGTTCGATTGTGTGTTTGCAGTTACATGCTCGCCTTCTGTGCTTCTTAGCCCAGCTGTGTCAGATCCAGACGAGCAAGAGGGAGTGAGTCCGAACTGGGTTGCGCAGAAAGCGCACAAACCCTGCAGACATGGAGCATTGAAAATGAAGTCACTGTGATCCACAGTCCCGAGAGTCTCTCTGTGCTTGTCTTTCATATTTTGCCCCTTAGTCACACACAGCACTGCACAGTCCAACTCCTTCCAACATCCCCTTCACAGCTTGTATGTGTGTGTGTGTCTGTGTGGTGCAGAGATGGCTAATCTGAACGGCCTCCAGAATCCTTCCTCGAAAAGACCATCATTGCTGCTTAGACGTCCGTTGGATGACATTTATGAGCGTGTTAATGTGTGTTTGTTTAAGCATGTAGATTATGTGAGAGTGTGAGCTCACATTTATGAGATGCAGTGTTGAAGTGCTGGCAAAACGAACACACACACAGTCACGGAGACGTAGCGGAGGAGTGGAGCTGATTGTCGGCTGCTGCTTTTGGGCCCTGCAGAGTCCTGAGAGTCTATTGAACCCTGGGCCAACAAAGTCTGAGCAAAAACAGAGGAAGAAACACAAACGTTAAGCAGGAAAGTTTGCTGTACAGGTCTGGTATTTCCAAGTAATTTGACCAACAATGCTACTGATGCTTTAAAGCAACAAACAAAACCAATTGAGGTAAGAAATTTCAGGTAATCTTTGCTTTATTTGCACTGGTCGGATAAATCAGTGTAGTGAGGCTGTTGACAGAGCTGCCAGATAAAAAAATAAAAAAACACCCACAGTTGCATCAAGAGGTGATGGCACTTCAGACAGGGATATAAAAACAAAGGCACATTTTACAGTGCCTTTGTAAAATGTCTTCACAAGACATCAGTGAGAAATCATTTGAAGGTATAGTAACGAGGACATGTAGTTTGTGCTGACGTACAAACCCAAACAGTATTGTGCACCTTGACTGTAGCTGCATGAACGTGGCTGATGCAAGGTGTTCACGTTTCAGCAGACCATCCATCCATTATCTTTTACCCGCTTCTGCCTTTTCATGTTGCGGGGATCACTGGTGCCCATGTCCAGCAATCACTGTGCGAAGGGCGGGGTACACCCTGGACAGGTCTCCAGTCCATCACAGGGACACATAGAGACAAATGAGACAAATAACCATCCACTCTCTCACTCACACCTAGGGACAATTTAGAGTTACCAATCAGCCTAACATGCATGTTTTTGGTCTGTGGGAGGAAACCAGAGTATCCAGAGAAACCCCACACATGCATGGAGAGAACATGCAAACTCCACCCAGAAAGGCACCTGGACCGGGATTTGAACATAGACAATCTGCTCGCTGAGAGCAGCAGCTCTAACAACTGTGCCACAGTGCTGCCCTAAATTATGTACTATTATTATTATTATTATTATTTTTTTTTAAAGTAGGAAAAAAAAGCCGGAAAAGGGTAGAGTGCTCTCTCCAGGTCAGGGAGGAGGTCCTGCTCCAAGTGGAGGAGTTTAAGTATCTCATGGTCTTGTTCACGAATGAGGGAAAAATGGAGCGGGAGATCGATAGGCGGATAGGTGCAGCATCTGCAGTGAAGCGGACGCTGTCTGTTGTGGTGAAGAGAGAGCTGAGTCAAAAGATGAAGCTTTCTATTTACCGGTCGATCTACGTTCCTGCCCTCATCTATGGTCATGAGCTTTGGGTTGTGACCGAAAGAACAAGATCTTGGATACAAGCGGCTGAAATGAGTTTTCTCCGCAGGGTGTCTGGGCTCTCCCTTAGAGACAGGGTGAGAAGCTCGGTCATCCGGGAGAGACTCAGAGTAGAGCCGCTGCTTCTCCATGTCGAGAGGAGCCAGTTGAGGTGGCTCGGACATCTGGTTAGGATGCCTCCTGGACGCCTCCCTGGTGAGGTGTTCCGGACACGTCCCACCAGGAGGAGACCCAGAGGAAGACCCAGGACACGCTGGAGGGACTATGTTTCTCAGCTGGCCTGGGAACGCCTTGGGATTCCCCTGGAGGAGCTGGACCAAGTGGCTGGAGAGAGGGAAGTCTGGGGCTCCCTACTTAAGCTGCTACCACTGCGATCCGACCCCGGATAAGAGGAAGAAAGAGGATGGATACACAAATCCGTCATCAAAATCTCTATCTCTACTCTTTTACTTAAGTTAATTAATTTTTTTTACAAATGTCAATATTTCAAGGGATCATTTATTGTATGGAAACAGCTAAAAATGTAATGTACAAGTTCTAGCCTTTTCAGCTACTTTGAAATAAACCAACCATCAGGGTAAAGTTGTTTCAATTGGGAACAGGACATGCTGACAGGAGAGTCTGCAATAAATGTTTTAATATTCTGTCCACCACCAGAGTCTGTGTGTGCATGACAGATCCATAAAGCATGGTATGAATACACACAATACTTGAAAGCTTATTGGATCCACCTATAAATTATAAAACATTAAGATGCTAATAATTAGAAGTACTCACCTCCTCGCACTCAAAGTCATCAGAGGGGATGCACTTCTGACCTCCATCCTGAAAAACACCAACTCTCTGTGAGACACACACAACTCATTATTCTAATATAATGTGTAACATATAACAGCTATTACCATTTGAGTGACTTGCTCAAATGAAAAGTACTCGTTGAAGATGTAAACGAGAACTGAGGATATTAATAAAAAGAAATACTATCTCTAAAAGGTTTTTGTCTACCACAGATAAGAAGTAACATTAAAGAGAGCGAGAGAGAAAGAAATTTAAATTCTTTCCACACAGTGTAAATGACTTTTGTTTAAGTCTTTTGTGCTTGTTTCTTGCTCTATATTTTTTCACTGTTTCCACTCTGCATGATAGACATTACAGAACATCATTATGTTACTCTACTTGTTATTCATCATCTAAATTAGGCCTCTTTCTGAAACGCACCATGTAATCTCCTGGTCTTTTAACATTATCCTTCCTTAAAACCTGCTTTATTCTGATTGGCCAACTTCAGCATGCGTACTGAGAGGTGATGTTTGTGAGTGCAACCTCATCTGAAGGCCTATTTAAAAGTTTAAAAGTGAACTGTGAGTCTGCTATATAACAATTTACCCTTTTAAACCAAACTAAAATTCTCCAAATAAGCCTTTTATTGTTATTTAAATGAAAGAAAACGGCTAAAAACACAGATAAAAGGTTTCTATCATTGCAATGAAGCAGTAAAGATGGCAAAGACACATGCTTATGACTCCCCCCCCCTCTCTCTCTCTCTCTCTCTCTCTCTCTTTCTCTCTCTCTCTCTCTCTTTCTCTCTCTCTCTCTCTCACACACACACACACACACACACACACACACACACACACACACACACACACACACACACACACACACACCCACACACACACACACACACACACACACACACACCCAC